TTTTTTTTTTTTATGAATGTGGGTCAAGGGCGGCAGGGTTTGATGGTTTTGTTTTGCTGTCCAATCGTTTTACTAATGCATCCCAGGACCTAAAAAGCGCCTGGGATGTCAGGGGCACGCAGTAAATATTTGATAAATAAATGAATAGGATATTCACACCATGGAATATATAGCTTTGGAAATAAATAAACCACCACCACAGGCACCACCATGGATAAGTGTTGAGAACAAATTCTGCATGGTAACCTCAAAATTCAGACTAGTTTTATTTATTGTCAAGAGGGAGAGGCAAGGGTGCAGTGAAGCAGAAGCAAAGAGCCAGCTTCATAGTCATCAGCAATTCTGGTTATTAAATTGGGTAGTACAATCACGGATATTCTTTTTTTTCATTGTTTCAGAACTACAGAAAAATTATGAAAAAGTTTAAAAAATTTTTAAAGAAAAAAAATTCACAGCACTTTCATAGTTTTCATTCCCAGTCAACCAGCTCCCTAAGGATCCTCTCACAGCCCCACCCACCGCTGTGGTCACCGCCACCTTCCCGTTGGCTAGTCCCAATCCGCAGCATCTCTGGCCTAGGTTATATGTAGCTAAACACAACTTACTGGCCTCTTTCACTATAATCCATTATTTGCCCACAGCCAGGGTGATTCTTTAAAAAGTCATTTGAATCAAATCATCCACTTAATTGAAACCCTTCAGGTAGCTTTTTCTTACCCAAGGTACAGTCCAAACTCCTCCAACTTGTCACATCTTGGTCCCTGCTTACCTCACCAATGTCATCTCTTGCTATTCCTCTTCTTAGAACTTCAGTTACCCTTCAGGTATCATCTTAAATATCACCTCCTCAAGCAAACCTTATCATACCTACTAGCAAGACCTTTTGCCCTTGTCATTCTCTAAGTGCAGTCCTTTGTTCAGTGGAATATCTACCCTGATGCACACACTTCCTACACTTTCACATTACTGGTGCTTAGAACAGTACATAGTATGTGTTCATATGAGGATTTGAGGATTTGCACTTACTGAATAAACTCATCTCATAAGATGGTTTTAGGCATGGAAAATAGACTAGAGTTTGTGACCTTGTTTACTTACCTATAAAATAAGTGTAGAATTGCTTACCACAAAGCTAATGATGTGGATAATTTAATTTCAGAATAAAATGGAAACACTACATAGTACAGAATGTACTAGATTCTGAGCTCATTGGGAGTAAACAGTAATTCTTTTTAAAATCTTTGTAATTGTAGTGCTTAGCACAGGCCACAGAACATGGTAAATTCCCCATAAATATATTTAGGAGGGCATATAATATGATGGCTGCTTCTCTGTCTCCTGTGGATCATGGTGAATCCACACTGAACCAAGAAAATTAAGATGTTTGAATTACACCCTTGATCTTACGCAAATATAGATAATCGAGGTAACTGTGATTATATAAAAGAAACATCTACCTAACAACACAGCTATGACTCTATCAATATATTTTCTTTTATAACCATGTTGTTAAGTATGTGAAGTGAAGTAGATGGATTAGTAAATATCACTGTAATGACTTACATGAATGCCAAAAGTTCATTAACATTCAAGAGTATTCTCAAAGATGTATTTTTAAGATATTTATGAGACACCATAAATAAAAACTTAAAAAAGAATCTAGTAACTACTGATTTCTAATTTTTTAAATAGCACTTTGACAAGATTTTCTTTACTGAATGAGAAAAACTGTATAACTGTTCATTGTTTTTATTCAAAATTCATACCCTAAAACTTAACAAAGGTAGAAGAAACATACTTTTCTTTGTGAACTTTACAGAATATCTTTATGTGACCCTGAGATGACAATGTATATGCAATTCACTGGAAAACTGTTAAACAGGTTTGCATTGCCTCTGCAACTGTGCACATTTGTATGAGTCATTTCATTGCATCATTGTCTCTATCACGTTTGCCTGGGAGTTACTGTTTCCATGTTATATCATTTCTAATTTGTATCAGTCCAATTTGCTGCAATCAATCTTACCCTCTATACTATTGGTTTCATAATTTGAGTGAAAAATATAAAACATGACTTACTAGATCTTAGAAAAGAAACAAGTGTTTAAGAGAACTACCCTTTGCTCACTGAAACTCAAATCCTGGTTCCTTTATTCCCTAGCCACATACTCAACTCTGGATATCCTCACTGCATCCCTTCCCACCATTTCCCCTCACCTCTCCCTCTTCTCCTCTTGGTATTAGGGGGACAATGACAGCTCCTACCTCATAGGATGGGTATGAGAATAAATTGAGAAACATATGCAAAGACTTAACCCCCAAATCTGGCACATGTTGAGGACTCAATAACTGCTGTCTCCTTTTATCAAATTAGATACCATTTTCATTAAGTTATAGCAGCCATATATGACAGCTTGGCCCCCCAAATCTTGTCATAATTAAGCACATGTGTACCTCTTCAGGGCATCCACTGTCTACCCAGTCCTGGCGATGGCGGTCAAATCCACTGGAACATCTTCAGAGAAGACCACGTTGCAGTTCAGAAAAGGAAGTAAGGTTCAGAGTGAGGGGCAGAAATGGAAAGGAAAAGATTGGTAAGTAGTTTATTCTCAGGTTTTCAGTTTAGCACAACATCAACTTTCTTCTACAGACTTATTGATTAGAGCAGCCATGAAGAATTGACTGTTCTGTGTAACAACTCGCTCCCACGTGATCATGCGATTAGGATCAAACACGGCCACAAAAGACTCCACTGAGGCCCATTTTACTATGCAGGACACTGGGATCCCTACCCAAAGGGAAGACTAACTGTTGTTCTATGACATTGGTTTTCTTTATTTCCTTTCTCATCATTCAAACAAATGGATATAGATAATATGTTTAACAGGTATCATTTTTCAGGATTTCTGATCATTTTATTTGTTTTTCTTAAGGTTTTAAATTTAAGACCCACAATCATACAAACTCTACAGTATAGGAAAGGGTTAACTCAGCAAGTCTGGGGTGTTCAAAACCACGCATTCCAAAGAAATAACTGGCCCTCATCCGGCTCCCAGGAGATAAAGCCCTTGGAATATCCTGCTGGATAAATGCAGGATAGTTTTAGCTAACGCTATGATTTATGGTGAATATCTGTTTTATACACCTGGAGCCCTGGGCCATGCGGTATCAGCCTGAACTCTGTGAGGGCTGGAGACAAGAGATAAGGTTAGTCACAGAGAATCTCCTACCTACGTGACTGACCCTCAATAAAAACCCTGGACACAAGACTTGGATGAGTTTCCTTGTTGGCAGTACATGCTGTGTCTGTTCACAGATTGTTGCTGGGGGAATATTGTCGTCTGTACGACTCCACTGGAAGAGAACAACTGGAGGCTTCTCTCCCCTGGACTGTGCTCTATGTGCCTTTCACCTTCGCTAATTTCAGTCTCTATCCTTTTGCTGTAGTAAATGGCAACCTTGGGCATAAAAGCTTTTCTGAATTCTGTGAGTCTTTCTAATGAATCATTCAACCTGAGTGTGTTCTTGGGGACCCCTAACAACACTATGATTGTTTCATATCTAAAAAGTCTAATTTGGTAAGCACTGGGCCAATAAGATTTTATTCACTCTTTCTCTCTTCCTTGACTGGAATAATTTTCTGCCCTCTAGCTACAGTCTATTGATTTTTTTAATTAAACTTAAAAAATAAACTTTCTTTTTAGAACAATTTTATGTTTACAGCAAAAACGAATAAAACAGCCTTCCCCACTGTCAACATCCCACACCACAGTGGTACATTTTTCACAACTGATGAACCTACATCAACACATCATTATCGTCCAAAGTGCAGAGTTTACATTGGGGTTCACGCTTGGTGATTTACATGCTATGGGTTTGACAAATGTGTAATTACACATATCCACCATTGTAGTACCTCACAGAATAGCTTTACTGCTCTAAAGATCCACTGTGCTCTGCCTATTCAGACCTCCCTCCTCCTATTGCTCTTCTTACTGTCTCCATAGTTTTTTGCCTTTTCCAGAATGTCATACATGTAGTTGGAATTTTTTAAGCCACAGAAGTTACTCCCCAGGCCCCATTCTGATAGAGCTTCATAACTGCTGTTGATCACTTCTTACTTTAATATTTAACTTTTCTCCTTTATATAAAATATCACGTGCTTATTTACCAAACTTGATTGTGAACATTTTTAAAGTTATGGCCAGTGTCATGTATGATCATACCTAGTATGTCTGACACATGATTTCATTTTCATATTAGAGATTCAAAGTATTTAGTCAGTCTATTAAAATGAAAGATTTACATTGCTCCTGAATTTTAATATCTCTATATAAATTTACACATAATATATATGAATCCATATTAATAAATGTTAACCTAAGGATATATTTTATATATTTAAAAAAATTAATGAAGGCTGTTCAACTTTTGTCTTAAGTTTTCTTATAGGGCTTATAGAACTACTTTTTCCCCCCACTTGTTTTGTAGTGAAGCCACATGATGACTTTTTCTAAGGATCTTTGCCAGAGATTATGTACTATGGCATGAATGAGCATAATTTAATTCAAGTGGAATGTGAAAACAACTCTGCTGTCAACAAAAAAAGACCATATCTATCATTCTGCCCAGACATGATTCATTAGAGCTCAGCTATTTTATGCCTACCATCTGTGTTGAACGAGCATAAGTGTGGAATAAACATCAGTGTGTGATCTGGCACGCTAACTCTGAGACTCCCCAGTTGGTCAAGGCCATCTCTGGTTCCCCAAAGAAAATCTAACATTTAGAGTCTATTTAATTCCAGATGAGTTAGATGGTTGTTTCCTCTTGCTCTTTTTACCTTTCAGGTTTGTTTAAATATTGAAAAATGTACATACTGACACTGTCTTTTGCAAGATGGGGATATTCATTTTCTACAGTAAACATATTTTGGGGATCCACCTGACCACAAATAATTAAATAGAATAGATAATTTCTAAAATTCAGTTTGTTTTCACATACTGTATTGCAGATGTATTCAAAGCCAGTGGGAAATAAGACGTTTTACCTTATAACAAGACACTAGTAAATCTTAAATTTATAGGTCAACTGAAATTTTATCTTAAGTAATCAGTCCCTAAATGGTTAAATCAATCCCAGGGTCAAGTACAGAAGCACTGCATTTTGCTTGATTTATTAAATGGTCCCCCAGTTATATTGTGTGAAATTAGGTTCTACTGAAAATACATGATCCAACTAAGCAATTCATTCATTTACTCACAATTGTCTCTCTATTAATTGATCTGCTGTTTACTAATTGCTAGGGTAGTTAGGACTGACAATGCAAACACAAATAAAATTTGGTTTGAGAAGCTCATGCATTCTGTAGCTTTCAGTGCCTTAAAAATTAACACAACTAAATGCTGCTTTTTTTAGCATTTCCCTAGTAACCTAAATAGCACCCGAAAGCAATTATAAACAAAAAGTGTGTGTATGTAATAAATTATTAAGAAAAACCACCGTTATGTTATTTCTGAATTCAAAATAAACCACAAATCACTTTTGAGATCAACTTCCCTTCTCCACTGAGCTGCTGTGTTGTTTTTCCTAAAACACAGAGACGTTAACCATATCATGCTCTGGCATATTGATTTCTAGACATTTCTGACAGTTAGTAAAGAGGCTCTTCTACATTATAATCATCTAGTATTCCCGTTGAACCGCACATTCCTGGGCCTAGCTGTATAAGAAAGATTCTCTGAAAATATGGGTTCAGCAATTTTCATCGTAAACAGTCACCCCAGGTGATTCTCACCACACTGAAATCTGGAGACCACTGACATCCTGTATGCCGTGTCCATATGGCAGGCCCCTTCCCGCTCTCCTGCCCATCCCCCCCACCTGTTCTTATACTCCTTAGAGCCCCTCGCTGAACGTGCTGTGCTCTTTTAGTCTCTGCCTTTGAACATGCAGTTACTTGTGTCTAGAATACCTTCCTTGTTTCTAATTAGCAAACCCAACTGAACTCAAGCCTATCTACTCCGAAAGGCATCTACTCCCTTCCCACCCAGAAGGGCTGGCAACCCCTCCTCAGTGCCCACCAATATCAACCCAATGGCCAGCGCTAGCTCCTATTATTATGAGACCCTTGGTTGTGCTCGAGCTTCTCTTAATGAGACTTCCAGGAGAACATAGTTCAAATGGACGACGTGGCATCAAATTGCTTGAGTTGGATTTGGCTTTGGGCACAAAGTAAGTACGTAATCATAGGCAAGTGATTTTTCATCTTTAAGCTTGTTTCCTCATTTGTAAAATGTGGTGGGAGAGGTTATGTAAGGACTGAAGTTAGAGCTTAGTACACAGTCAACACTTAGTAAGCATCAGCTGTTCTTCATACCTCAGTAATGACTTTGTAGTAGGAATGTGGTAAGGTCGACAGTTGTTGAAAATGAATCAGTGAGATGTTCATTATATTACCAGTATTTTGGAAAATGTTTAGGGATTAATTGTGTACCATATTAATGTGAAGTGTCCTTTATCATCATCTTTGGGAATTAGCATTATAGGCTCTTATGACAGAAAATCCAAGTTGCTCTCAAAAATGGTGAGAGTCTTTATTCAATATTTATAAATAAGGCAGAGATTACATGGTTTTGTAAAGATTTCTCAAAAACTGATTTAAATATGTTTATGTAATACATATTTAACTTTATACGTTTATTTACTTCATATCGGAACTTTTAGTATGTTTCCAATGTTTTTTGGAAGAAGTTATTTCCTTCTTCTCTCTGTTACCTAATTCCAAAACAAATGGGTAGAGAGCTATACTTCAAATTAATTGTACTGCTCTCCCCTCAATTTCCATGGGATGTTGATTTCAAAGCCCCAGGGACCCTGTTAAGTGAATCACATTAAATGAGGCAGCCTAGAAAACAAACAATAGCTTGCAGCATCTATCCAGTCAAGAAATTAAAGTGTAAATCTCATCAAATCTCTAATTTATCTCAGTTTTGTAGAAACGGTTTCAGAAATGATTTCTTTTATAAGGGTAATATATTCAGGTGAAGGAAATAGAGCGAATGTTAAAATCTATACATAAGCAATACATAAAGATTAAAAATGAAGTGTGTCTTACTGCACAATTGAGCATGTATCATTTCACCAGTGAGAAGAAACATCTACAAAAGAGAAGTTAGGAAAGAAACTTCACAGAACCTTAAGTCTCAGTGAGCAGTTAGTTTCTAGATCAGGAGTCAGAAAATGTTTTCTGCAAAGGACCAGATTAAGTCTTTTAGGCTTTGCAGGCTGTATAGTTTCTGTCCTAAGTAGTCACTTCTGCCACCGTACCTCAAAAGCAGCCACAAACAAACGCAGGAAGAAATTCCTGTGGCTGTGTTCCAATAAAAGTGTATTTACAAAAAACAGGAAGTGTGTCAAACTTGGTCCATTGCTATGGTTTGTTGAACTTTGTTCTACATTGTTATCTAAAAATAAAGATCTGTAAAATTCTGAAAACTTTAGGACAAATACCTC